GAGTGGCATTTAGGCCCGTAACTAAGGGGGCGCGGGTGGGGGGGTGCAAAAAGTTTCGCCCCCCACCCTCCCCCCCTGTGAAAATATTGTCGACCATAGATAAACATTGTCCGTCAATTTTACAGCACCCCTGAGAACATTTCCCGCCCCCCTCGTTGCTCTGAGCTAGTTTACGGCCCTGGATCGAGCCCAATAGAAAAACACAACGCACTTTATATGGAAAACAATCACCGGTTTGTTTATATATAGCACGACGTTTCGACAAGTGTTCTCTTATCGTTATCAAGTACAAACGGTAAGAGAAAACTACGTGATTGTATTCCAAATAGGGAGCCACGGTGGCTAAGTGGGTAAGACGCTGACTCACTAGGCGGCAGTCCTCGTGTTAGATCCCTGCATTGGCGGAGGAAGTTCATCCGGATTTTCCATTTGTCAGTGGTGGGCCTGACAAGGACAGATGTCTAGTCTTTCGGATGGGACGAAAAACCCAGGTCACGTATATACATTGGCGTGCAAGTAAAAGATCGCTTGACATTTAGAATTCGATATACGAGTAGGCCAGAGTGCCTCTGTCCGGGAAAAATTTCCCTCATAGCACACTGTATGGCGTCTGCCCGTGTACATTAGCCTAGTCCGAGTAGAACAGTCGGACGTTGAACACCGTTTCAGTTCAGCATTCCAAATAAATTTGGTTGTGGGATTTTTTTTTTCGGAGAGTAGAGGGGAAATTCCACTATCGGGTCACAAGTACCCTTAATCATAGAAATTAAAATTGTCATATTTTAGTCTCAAGAAAATAAAACACCATTGCACTTAAATCACTCGAAGCTGAATTCTCGGTTGAGTGAGCGCCATTGCTAAACATCAGGTTAGCAAAAAAATCTAGTCTTCCTTTTATGATCACACGAATTATAAATGAGTTAATCTTGGCGTTTGACAACAAAATAAAGGCGCGATGGTGAATAATAGATTTTATGCATGTCATCTTTCATAAATAGATATCCCAAGATACCCATCGCTTATTGTCAAATGTATTACAGTATTTATCGTACCTTGGGTAATTACGTAGTCATAATTATACAGTCTTATAACATAAACAGTGTCCACAGGCGCCTGTAACGTGAAAAATATTCAAAAATAACATTAAGCTATGAATAAATATATGCCTAAAGTCTGTTACGTCAAATAATTGGTCTGATTATTTCAATAATAATATCTACTGAAAGAGAATCGATTTCAGACGAGTTATTTGCCCCTGAGTTAGAAATTGGTATCAGACCAGTTATTTTATTATCTCGCTTACGAACTTGGACGTAACAGACTTTAGACATATACTTAGACATAGCTTAATGTAATTTTTGAATATTCTCCACGTTACAGGCGCCTGTTTATAGTCATAGTGTAACAATAGCCAGCGTCGATTTTCAGGCATACAAAATGAAGTGAGATGCAGGGGGGGGGGGTAATTTTTCTGCACGGACTGGGCTAATGAAGACAGGAACACGCCAGGCAGTCTGCTGTGCAGGAAATTTCGCCCGGATAGCAGCGCTAACTCCTACACTTATTTCGAATTCCAACTGCCAAGGGTTCTTTTACGTGCACGGGGACTCAGTTTTTCGTCCCATCCGAACGACTATATATTGCCCATTGCTAGCCCCCTGCCCTACATCACTGACAAGGGGGAACCACACCGGAAAATCCCGATGAACTTTCTCAGCCAACGCAGGGATCGAACGCGAGACCTCGAATTTAGCGACCAAACGTCTTACTGCGCCACCGTAACTCCCGTTCAGACACACACACAATCAATGCTGCATCATTTAGAGAGAATGATATTCAAAAAGCACAGTATACTTGGATTGTTAATTGCTAAATCAAAGACTCAATGCATAATCCACGCTAAAATTTATTATTTAAATTTATTTATAAAAATAAGGTCCCTAATAAAATCTAAATATCAACGTTCGATAATCTTTCAGCTTGGATTCAGTTGGATTAGAAAGCGGTCCATTTCAATTAATCATATCTTTGTAAATCATGTATGGAATTGGTCCATGGACTGATATTAAGTTTAGACTGGCAACTTTAACAATATTTTAGTTTTCAAGGGGGTAACACTACATCAAATAAGGTTCAGAGACTTCAATACGTATATTCCACCATTGCGAGGATGGGTTGCCGAATGGCTAAACACGTGCGCGTTAGATCACAATGCCAAGTGACGTTGGTTTCGATTCTCCGCTTGTACGTGACAAGGAGTAGGATCGCCTGTCCAACTTCGTGGGTCCTCCGGTTTCTCTCCACTGCTAGAGATCCCTACGCGCAAGAGAATTATTGAAATATAATTCAAACATATGTTAGTCCCGAAATGACACAGTTTGTGCCTAGTGGAAGTCTCTCTCTCTCTCTCTCTCTCTCTCTCTCTCTCTCTCTCTCTCACGATTATCTAACATTTTACCATTCCATATGGATTGATGTCTCTTTAATTACAATAACTGCAACATTATCGCTAATTAGAACAATTGTCAATATTAACTATCCTTATTCTTAATAGAAATTCATCAATCATTTTCTTATTATTGTCATTTGATTCTTAGAAACTTTTTAATTAATGGGAAGAAGCCAGTTGTTGGTAATGTAAAATTGATTAATGATATTTTTTTGGTAGCAATAATTACATTGATGTAACTGTAATTAGTGTTGATTAGCAATATCAACACGGTCTATTACTATTTTTCAATTTTTAGGGATAGGGTGTTGAGGGTGTGTGTGTTGGATTGGAACGTGGCTGGGTCTTTTATAAAATCCGATAAGCGGGAGTTTATTATTATGAAAGCACGGTGGCGCTGGTTCACTGACAAGTCCCGGACTTTTCAGCTTGTCAGTGGCACAGTACAGGGGATCTGGCTAGGGATAGGGTCTAGTTGTTCGGATGGGACAATAAATCGAAATCCCGTGTAAACGTGTGTGTGTGCACGTACAAGAACCCTTGCTAGTTGGCATTCAACCAAGGGTTGAGAAAACGCATTCTGACAAAATACCCCACATAGCACATTGCATGGCGTACGCCCAGCTTCCTTAGCTCGGTTGATGCAGAAAATAATGACTTTAAACCCCCATTCCATTTCATTATTATTTCAATTATGGCGCTACGTTACAATTAACTGTCATTTTCCATGCAATTAGCAAATACCGAATTAGCACATACCTGTTTCAAACTGAAATCTCTGTAAACTAGATTTGAAGAAACTAAATCGTACACTTCGACGTGGGACTTTCAGTAGATTATTTCATGGACATTAATAGAGAGAGAGAAATGGGGTTTAACGTCCACTCGACACAAACTAGGTCATTTCGGGACTAACATATGGTTTAATTTTATTTCAAAATTATCAGTGGGAGGAAACCGGAGGACCCGGAGAAAACCCACGAGGTTGGACAGGCGACCCTACTCCTTGCCACGTACAACCGGGGATTCGAAACCACGCCAGTCGACTCAATGACAGACTTTATGATACAGCGCGCGCACGCTAACCATTCAGCCATCCAACCCCCCTGGACATTATTAGCAAACTGTCCATCGATTGAATTATATTTCTATACGCCCACAGTCGTATGGTCATGGTGGTGTTTTCCTTTAAAAAAAGACCCTTTCATTTATCTGAAAAGATTTTCAAGCTATATTCTCGTTACCGGTGTCGATTCTTCAATTCAATCTTTAACTCTTGTATTGAACATTCACCTGAAAGGTTTTTCGTGCTATTTTCTCGTCATCAGTGTCGGATCTTCAGACCAACCTATACTATTTACGATCTATACTCTTCAAAAAAAGTAGGGGATATTGAAATGCAAATACCTATGCAGGTTGTGATATGATAAATAGTCATGGACACTTGACATGCTTTGAGAGTATGTTCACAGATGAAGAACTTATCGCCTCAACAGAACAACTGAGATGCGCGTGCGACACGCAATAGCGCCATACACGTGGGAGAGGTTCATTGTCAAATTTGACACTTCAAGGGCGGGTTGATGAAAACTGCCGTGTGCTGGTTTATCCTATCCATGCTTGCTTTCCTATCGGTTCTTGCATAAGATTTACTGTTTAGTGTTCTTTGCTTTAGTGTGTTACGTTAATTTGATCGGGAGACGTGTTCGTCGACGTAAACATCAACCGACAACACTGCAAGAGTTGCCCCAAATCGTGATTGGACGGTTGATTAGGAGCGTGCCACGACGAATTGCTGAATTCTGAGGATTGGTGGAGCAATTACTCATTATTAAGTCAAAAATTAAAAACGTCCATTTTCACTTTTGACAGTCTATCTCTTTTCTCTTTGCGAGTGAAATGGGGCCGTCAGATAAGCTTCCCATATGAACTGTTTGTGTTCATGTGTAGACAATTGGACTGTTATTAACATACACTGGTTACCTCTAATAAAAACAGCAGTGCATTTCCGAAGTTTTGCATTGTTTCTGAATATCCCCTACATTGAAGTGTATACAATAAGCATGACAGCGTTTCCCTTGTCAATACCTTTTCATTTAATTGAAAGGTTTTTCATGCTGTATTTACGTCACCGATGTCGAACTGTCAAACCAAACTTTAGCAATTGCTAGACATGGCGGTTTTTTTCCTTATAAAGACCCTTTCATTCATCTGGGAGGTTGGATTCTAGTGGGGATGTGTCCTCGATAATATTTTGGACCTACACAGAGTTGCAATACGTGACTCTTTGTAGGTCTTTGTTCTTGTGTGGCAAAGAAGACAACTTGTCAATCTACTGGTTTCCCATTGAACTAATTTTGAAGGCATGTCACACATTTTTACAATTTCCCCTTTCAATTTACACACAGAGTTGCAATACGTGACTCTTTGGGGTCTTTATTTGTTCTTATGTGGCAAAGAAGACATATTGTCAATCTACATACTGGTTTCCCGTTGAACTAATTTTGAAGGCATGCCACACATTTTTACAATTTTCTCTTTCAATTTACAGCACGAGGGCACATACCATTTGCTGATATAGAGAGATATGTAGCAAGACGGGGTGGTATATATTGGGATAACAATGATGAAGAGGATATACTCACAGCATTCCAAGCATTAGATAGAAACGGTTGTGGAAAAATCAAGGTAAGAGTATGCTAGAGACGACCGTACACAAATGAAATGAAATGGGGTTTAACGTCCTACTGTTCTGCTCCGAACTGGGCTAATGAAGACGGGCATACGCCATACAGTGGGCTATGAGGGAAATTTTGTCCGGACAGCGGCACTACGGCTTACTCTTATATCGAATTCCAACTGTTTCGTCCCATCTGAACAAATAGACAGCTATTATAGTCAGGCCCTCCGTCCTGTATCACTGACAAGGGGGAACCACGACCGTACACAAACTATGTCATTTCTTTCCAAACGCTAGGTTCATACTGATGTTAATTTATACTTTGGGTCAGCATGTATTACGAGGGAGACAGAAAAAGGGGGTTGGGACGAGAGAGAGAGAAGGGGGTGGACGGGGGGGGGGGGGGGCATGACTCTCTCAGCCTTCAATCGGTGCCAGCTGTGCGGAACTCTGTGATTCTCTCTGCTAAATGAAATTTAAATTTTTAGGTCGATGATTTTAAACATTTTATGATGACAATGGGTGAGCAAATGTCGCAAGAAGAGGTGGAGGAATTAGTCGAATGTACCACAAAGGAAAGTGAAAGAGGTGTAATAGATTACAAAGATAAGTATTGCATTACAAGAAAGAATAATCTAGAGAAATTTTCAGTGGGTCGGCTCATTCGTATTTCATCCACCTGGTATAATTAACTGGATCTTCTTTATAATGATTTGCTGCGGTTTGTGTTGTTATTTCGGGAGTAACTTACTCGGGATCGGACCATTTCTTGTCCAGACACCGTTAAATCTCCGACTGGGCTAATGAAGACCGGCATACGCCATACAGTGTGCTGCGAGGAAAAGTTTGCCCGGACAGCGGCGCTAAGGGGCGGACCCGTAGCCATAGGGTGGCTAAGCCCCCCCCCCCCCCAAAAAAAAAAATTGAATTAGCCCCCCCCCCCCAAATATTTCGCCAACAATAATGACTTTTTAGGAGTGTTCAAATTGGTAGGCGACCCGTAGGCTCGTAGCATGGCCCACCGAGGCCTGTCTGTCATCATCACCTCCTGATCCTCTTGTCTTGATACCATACGTGCGTTGTACATAACTACTGTGAGGCGTGTTTGTCTACTGTCACACACGTACTTGCGGCATCCGACTCGTGTCCAGTGTTGCCATTTGCACTGGTAGAACATTTTTTAACGTTTTGAGATTGAGAATTCGATAGCGACGAAGATAAAACGATGGATGCATTTGTGATTAGAAAGAGACCATCGTCCTCTGATGACGTGACTACATCGTCTACCACACCGGCACCAGGATCAGCACTAAAGGAAGGGGTTGTCCACCTCATTACGCTATAGGAATAAGAAATAGTTTAAAATTTGCTCGGGCTCTTGATGGTACCAGAGACTGCATAATTTATCGCCATTTTCCTGAGACCTGTCCTTTTATACCCGGGTTACGGGTTCAAAGGGGCCCGGTTTATTTGTTCACGTACAAGGCGCCGGTTCAAATGTTGCCTATTGTGTCTAACATAAGATGCCTATTGTGCAGCCTATACTGTAATTTTATGAATAGAATACCCATAGTTCACTTGAAAATTGATACTAAAGCTGTATTGTCCGGCCTAGAGTTCTCCGCGTAAATCAAAAGTCACTCTCTACTACCCTCAAGATGATATCGGCGGGAGGAGTCGAAGAACGAAATTTCAGAAAATTCAGCCATAAAACCCTGCCTGAGGCACTTCCATTTGAGGCCCAGGAATGCAGTCAGATGCGAGGAGAGAGTAACAAATTTTCAAAATTTTCTGGGGGAAGGACCCATAGACCCCCTGCCCTGGCTCGCGCCTTCGGTAAGCCGGCCACATCCTCAGCCCCTCAAAAATTCAATAGCCCCACCAAAGTTTACGAGCTGGCTACGGGCCCGACTAAGGCCTACTCTTATATCCAATTCCAACGGCCAGGGGATCTTTTACGTGCATGCCAATGTGTACACGGGCCACGGTTTTTCGTCCCATCTAAACAACAGGCCTTATGATCTACAGCGCATCATAAATAATAGCGCTTTGGGCTTCGAATAGGTGACCCAATTAACCGGTAGGGAAGCTGTTTCGTAAACAAATAAACTGCTAATACAACAACAACATATATCATCTAATTAGATACGAAACTATATAGTCTTTCTCTTGTTTAATTGTCTCCCTTTTTTTCTATTTTATACATTTAGTAAAAGCTGTGAAACACATTCCAACGTGAAAAAATGGTGCCTATATTATAAACAGATCGTTATCATCACTTTTGATTGGTTCTCCATGGCGGTGACGTTAGAGAACTTTTGGCAGCAGCGAAGTTGTTTTGGCTACAAAGGGTCTTGTTTAGCAGGACGACATCATTCACCAATCACGAGATATCCAATTTTGCACTGACAATGGCGTCTTTATATTTTGGATGCAGTCGTGTATATTCGAGATTTTGACAAGACTCTAAGCGATGTTGATGAAAGAACATGGACGCGAGATTTTTTCTTTCTTAACAAATTCACCATTTTTTCCCTTAAACCTTTTTGCAACATTTTCTTCCACGATTATTCAAACATATCACATTTTTTACATCATTATGTTCAATTATATTGTTACACTTAAAAATCATTGTTCGTTTCAACATTTATGCACGTGGCTATTTATATATGATATTTGATATTTTCTTTGTGATATAGGCCACTCAACTGTTATTTGTTTTTTGATTATCACTACTTTGATGATATTGAACTATTAAGATACATTTATGATAATGAACCATTCAATATCAAACTTTTAATTCGACTTTTTGGTTTCGACCCTATCTGCGATAATACCATATTCTATTTGAGCTCAAAAGCAAAAAATATCGGCATCATAAATAAGCTCAATATCAAATTGATATTGGATTTTACTCAATTTAAATTTTAAACAATACAGATACAAGTATTGGATTGATATCAAATATTAATTTTGAACTTTAAAATATATTTATGATATTTATGATAATGAACCACCCAGTATCAGATTTGGTTTAAAACAGGTTTAATTAACGTGACAATTTGATATTGAACCTATTTACTATAAGTCATTTACAAGATCGGCATCATTGTAAAATGATCGCCATACATAAATAGACTCAATATCAAATTGATATTGGGTCGATATCAAATTTTCACGTATATCTGTTTTTTTATAATATTCATATTCAACTTTAAAATACATTTATGATAATGAACCATTGATGTTATAGTCAGTCAATTTGAGATTTAAATAATACAGATTTTAAATATGTTACAATAATTGTATTATTGGGTCGATATCAAATTTTAGTTAATAATATCTGTTTTAAAATATTGATAATGAACTTGTTCATATTAAAATATTTTCTCATATTAAACTGAACATGTTTGGCACATCTTGAATGTGCCTGAAATGGGCACTATCATTGTTTTAAAATATTGATAATGAACTTGTCCATATCAAATAAGTTTCTCATATTAAACTGAACATGTTTGACATATCTTGAATGTGTCTGAAATTGGCACTATCATTATTTTATGACATAGGCTCAAAATCATCTTCCAACAACCATAAGTTATTCGGAGCGGATGAGACATGATATCAAGAATATGTTTAACTTTGTAATACATTTCGTCTATGTTCTTGGAGAAATCTGAGGAGGGGCTGCGTATTTTAGTAACCAGTACGTTTCTAATTACGTTTTGTACTATCTAAAATGCCACAGAACTTCAGACATTTTTCTCCCGGATTATTACATTTTCCTGATCTCCAAAGTCTATCAAATCTCAAATACCTATCACGATTAAGACTACATAATTCCAGTATTTTAAATCATTAAGTCGTTACTAATACTGCCAATTCCCAGTAGTCTGGATCAATTGATCGAGACTACAAAATTTAAGCTGTAACCTGTGATAAAACCCAACAGACCAAATTCTTTAAAGTGAGCCATTGTGTTTGATTCATGAACAAGATAATGTGGATTTGGTTATCTTCGGTTGTTTAAAATTGCACAACTTCGTGGATTGTTGCTAGACCTTCCTTCCTTGACTTTTATTGTAAAGGTTTCTTGTCAGGTGTCAACAAAAGACCTCGACTCATTCTAATAAGACATCTATGTTAAGTTCGTTTCGTTTTTCTGCCCGCACAAATTTTAGACAAAATACCGTCAAGAAATAAACGAAACGAAATTGTATTCTAGTTTTAAGTTTAATTAGCGCGGCTTAATCTAAGAACCATAAAGCTTATTCCCAATCGACATGATTACAGAACAGTACGAAAATAAACATGAATTAGCTTATAAATACAGACGTGGCTAAAGCATGCATATGTAGCCTTCTTATTCCTAATAACTAACTAGTTTCAAGCAAACACTAATCTAGTAAAGCAAATAAACGACACTGGATCATACTTTTCGTCCCTCGTAGAGTGTTTTGCCCTACAGAGGACCTCGTCACGTGGCGATTATCCAGTCCTAAAATCTAAGTAGGAAAAAAACTATCCTTAATTTTGGTTAAACCTCCTGTCTGCATGGTATTCTATGATATCAATTTACACTACGAGAAAGTATCGAGGAATGCCGATTAGAACAAGGCGGGCGGTTGTTCGTTAGAAATTAAAACCAAATCGGTATCTTATCGTGTGCATATACCAAACACAGTGGTTTTGCTTGATGTCATATGTATGTTTTTTGTTTGTAAGTCCCAAGTGTGTTTTCTCTTCTACCTTTTTATGGTAATTTGTAAAAGGCAGAGTCATACTAAAGGTTTTATCCTTTAAGGAAAATCCTATTGAAAGTTTAACGGATATGCCCTCCAGGCTATTATTCTTGGTTGTTGCGCAGATGAGTTCCACATCAGTCATTTTTTGACTTTGAAGAAGTCCTAGTTTTGTTGAATACTTTAGGATTCATCCGTAGGCCAAAAGGTCTGTAACCTATAGGACGAATTTACAGTTCAATTTAAAGGATTTGTCCTGTAGATATATAAAACCTGTGACCCTGCCTTTAAAGGTACAAGCATCGTGCACATAGTCAAATGTTTGATATTTTAATGTATTCCGATATACTGGGGATTTGATTAACCTCATATAATCCATCGTTTTTCCTTTTTTGTGGAAACTCTTAACTTCCACAACGAAATAGCATATTTTATGATACAATTCCAGCTCATTCAGTAATATATTACAGCACGAATGAGTTTCTTAAACTCTAACATTTAACATGATGTGTTTTTTCATCGCTTTCAGTTGATAGATGCTTTTCTCGGAATCTATTAAATTTTATCAAAAACATGTTATAGCATACTTATAAAAGCTAATTACAAAAATATCTATCTCAAATTTCTCTTTAAGTTTTTTTATATTTCTTTTTCACGTAAATTTTATCAGCGATGATAAGAAATTCTTAATGTATATTCCTACCAAATAAACATGATGAGACTGACATTTTGACACTAACCACATACGCCCTGCTATCCCAGGCAGGGGTGGGTGGGGCGAATGGCTTAACGCGTTAGATCATAAGGTCTGCCATTGAGTCAAGTAGCGTGGTTTTGATAACCCGCCTGTACGTGACAAGGAGTAGGGTCGCCTGCCCAATCTCATGGGTTTTCCCCGGGTCCATCGGTTTCCCCCCACTGTTAATGACCCCTACCCGAAATGATCTAATTTGTGTCGAGTGGACGATAAATCCAGCTCCTAAACTGGTAACTATTACAGATGCCAACCGCCAAATCATGTATAATTCAAAATTTTGCCAACGTTTAAAATAATGGATATTTTAGACATTATGAACCACCATTTTTTTCTAATCGTCGAGTGCAATTTTAGAAATAATCCCTTTTTCTTGCGTTTTAAATAAAAAAACAATGAATAAATGTCTGCGTTTAAGCAGGATATATCGTGGAGCGCAATTTAGAAATAATTCTTTTTTCTTTCGTTTTTATTTTTTTTTTTATTAAATAAATAACGATGAATAAAAGTCCGCGTTTAAGCAGGATATAAGTGTTTTTTTCTCCATTACCTTAAGCTATTGTAATTCGCATTTAAATGGATTACCTCGGTGTATTCTTGGCTTTGAGTATTGAATGTTTTTTACGATCTTCAACATTATATTTTGCTTATCCAGAACACGCGTTTCTTTATATGTTCTTCACCATACGAGTTTATATATGATTTAAACTTATAATTTAAAAATACTAAAATGTACTAAACCCCTACTAAGAAAATGATAAAATGGTCCCAAAATAGTAGTTTGATGCTAGTAGAAATACAGAAGTGGGTTATTATATTATGTTTAACCAATTAAATAAATATACATGTTCTTAGAAAGTTAGTCGAATATGAAATGATACAATAAAATCTTATCTTATCTTATCTTACAGCCCCGGGTGTACATTCGGGGAGTGGGGAGGGGGTGCGTGTACTGAGGTGTTATTGTTTGAAGGTATGTGCATGCTGAATTAACTTAGAAAGTTAGTCGAATGATACAGCCCCGGGTGTACTTTCGGGGAGTGGGAGGGGGGGGGTGCGTGTAATGAGGTGTGATTGTTTGAAGGTGTGTGCATGCTGAATTAATTTTCGTGAATCAGAATAGCATAATAGGCCGTTTGTTCAGCGTGTGGACAACCAATCGTTAACGTTTCCAATACATGTATAACCTGCAATTACTGTCTCAATTTAATTCGTTATTCTTTATCGGAATTTTTTCATTTTTTGAAAAAATGGGAAAAATGTGCCAGTTTACTAATTTAAAAAATATAGAGTAATGTTAAATATTTTAATCTTCAATTTCGTTATTATCATCTATCTAAAATTAGATCTTTATCTTTGTCTTGTTTTAATCTATCTTTCGTTATTATCATCTATTTAAAATTAGATCTTTATCTTCTTCCTGTTTTAAACCTGGTTATCCAGGACTACAATATAAGAATATCTAACTACTTCCTTATTAATTCCCCGTTTTCTTTGAAATCTAGCTTCGGCTGTTTTAATTGGTTAACACCGGTTTTGTCTAAGACAAATCATCTATTGGCTAGAATAGAGGCCAGGTCAAGCTTATGAACACAAACATCTTAAAGGTGTTGTTAGATTTTAGTCTAGTATAGATATAAAGAACATAAAATCGAAAAAGAAACGTAAGTATGATTTATTTAAGTAGACGTTTGATTTATTCCTTTGGTAAATTAGGAAGACCCCCGAATGATGTGATTGTTCTAATCTTGACTTTCTCTAAAACTTTTTATTGGAATTTGACAATCGGCGTGTCAATAATTTATTTATACTATATTTACTTCCACTGGGCTAGTCCGATTTCACGCACAGAGTTGCGCATTTGTAGACTAAGTTTAAGGGATAGTATTATTATATTCTAGGTTAATAAAATAAATATTAATGATAATGTTATAGATATTATAAGAGATTCTAATAGTATTCTAAATAATGCCAATAAGTAATATAAGTAATGCTATTGGTATTATAAGTAAATCTAATAGTACTGTATTCTAAGTAATGATAGTAATACTATAAGTAATGCTAATGGTATAATAGATAATGTTAAAAGATATTATACTGTCATTGGTATCACAGATAATGTTATAGGCAATGTTAATCGTACTTATTATGCTAATGGTACTATTATGCTAATGGTATATAAGTAATGTTATTGGTAATGCTAATAGTATTATAAGTATTGCTAATGGTATTATATGTAATGCTAATTGTATTATAGGCAATGTTAATGATATTATGTAATGTTAATGGTATTACCAGTATTGCTAATGGTATTATCAGTATTGCTAATGGTATTATAGGTAATGCTAATGATAGTAAATGCTAGTGCTATTATAAGGAGTGCTATTGGTACAAGTAATGTTATTGGTATTTTAAATAATACTACTGGTATTTATTGGTTTGCAATTTCTTAAAATTATACTATCTTCGTGGTTTTTTTTTTCTTTTCAAATGTAATCCATGTTTATTAAAACCTATTAAATTTGTACATACATCGAAATGCATTCCAC